CAAGTGACCTAAGCTCTCCACATCTGAAGTTTATTGCTCTTAAAATGAGAGTTGTAATATTCCTGACCACAAAGTCTGGCTGAGAAGACTGGAGAAGAAACCACCTGTGATGTACTTTGAACACAGTTGCTGTGCATCCCATGAACGCTGGCTCTATTCAGGAATCAGTGTCGTAGTAATGGAAGAGTAATATTTTTCACGTATAACTTTGGCTGTGGAATCAGAGGAGTGAAATAATGTGTGTAAACTTTATTGGCAGAGATAAGCTTTGAGCCTAGTCTTGAGGCATGGAGCTGACATATCAGCAAGTAGAAACCAGAAGCACATTGCAGATAAGCACCTTGTGGGGAAGGGGTTGCAGGCCTGCATCTGGTCCTCTAGCAGCATTTTCTCTATTGGAGCTGATTGATTCACTTCTTAGCTCCTTATTTCTTTTCATCATCTTAAAATGATCAAAATCATCTGTTGCCATGACAACACAATGCAATCATGAACTCTGGCAGCTTTGTTCTTGATTCAGAAGTAATGTTCTATCAAGGTCATTTAAGCAAATATTTCTCATTCTACTCCTATCACTATCTTCTCTTACTTCCACTAACCAATTCATAATGGGATTGATAAGCTATCAGTACTAATTAGACACCACAGTGAAGTGAATCCCAGTAGAATCAATATATATATGAGCCTAGAATCCATGGAGGACTGTCTGTACTTATTGATAAAGTGACTTTTTTGCCGCTTCCCATTTTTTCTATGATCTGCATTGTATATTCAAGTAGAGCACAGAGATTTCTAACAGAAGAGACTGAAAACAGAGCTATCAAATTTTAATTCATCTTTTCAAACCTGTCATATGTACCTTCAAAAAGGTAGGTGAATTAGCATTAGACTGTGTTGTACCCATTTGCTCATGAGGCTTAGGAACTTCCCAGCTCCAAAGAAAGGATGGGACCCACGAAGAGTTTACAGAGGTTTAATCCCACACTTCTTGTTAGGTGAATTCCTCAGCTTCTTTGTGGAAGGGCTCGCTCTCCTGTTGGGTTTCCAGCAGGACATGGCCCCAGATTCTCAAAGGTCATCTAGACCACGCTGTCAGCTGTTATGACTCCTACCAGGAAGCCATCGTTCAGTGACAAGAAGCTCACTGGCTCATGAAGTGGGTCCATTATATATGGTCAGATAATTCCAGTTGTCAGAAAATCCTTACTCATATTGAGCTCAAGCTTCTCCACAATTTCCAAATTTGAGTGAAGAATTCCAGATGTGTCCAATTTGAATTTTATGACGGCTTGGCTAAAATTGGTGCATATATGTTTAATTTGCTCATTTCCTAAAGTACTCGGAAGCTAAGGAAGATACAGTCAGCAGGAATTGGCCAGGTCTGGGTCCACACATGGGTACACTTAATAAAGGGATTTATTTCCTCCAGACTAGGAGTAAATCAAATCCTATTTTAAATGTCTTTAACAATACATCTTTAAGGGACCCTCACAGTGGATCCTTTAATGCCACTTTCTCTAAGAGATTTCATAGCAGGCTGGAGCTGGGGGGACATCCAGGGCCACACCAATGTCCAGGCCGCAGTCCAGGGTCATGCCAGTAAGTGACAGAGCCAGAACTACAAACCCAGCTCTCAGGAGCCATTTGGGAACCAGCGTCTGTTCCTTATGTGGGGTCCACACCTGCAGACCGTGCACGTGCACCAGAACACATCTGTGTTTTGTGAGGTGACTGGTAAGCTAGCTGCTGTGGGTTTGTACTGATCACGCAGAGCTGGCTGTGACCAAAGCAGAGGGTGAGGGGCAGGGTGACTGGGAGCTGCATCTTCCCTGGTCCTGGGAGCACTTTGCAGTGGTGGTTAAGGGGACCCGTTAATGACATCTAACTACACAGCAGACTGCACAGACCTGTCTGCCCCCTTCCCCAGCCCCACCCACCACAGAAAGCAGCTGCAGGTTTCACTTGTCTTTGCATTTGAAAGCAGCTCCTGTCCCTCCCATGCTCCCTCCTCCAGATTCTGCAGCTTTCCACAGCATTTTGCTGCTCTTTGATTCCTTCTCCCTACTTTTAGGCTCTGGGACCTTTTCCTGGCACTCCACTTCCTAATTCTCCAGAGCTCAGTGTTCCCGCCACCCCCTGTGCTCACTCACTTTGCTTTTTTGCTTCTGAATACGCAGAGGACTTCTTAAAAATTGAGATATTATTCATATGCCATATGATTCATTCATTTAAAGTGTACAGTTCATCGGTTTTTGATACCTTACATTAACTTTTTCAATTGTGGTAAAATAATATAACATAAAATTTGCCATTTTAACCATTTTTAAGTTACAATTCAGTGACATTAAATACATTTACATTGTGTACAGCCATCACCACTATTTCCAGAACTTTTCCATCACCCCAAACAGCAACTCTCTCTGTACCCTTTAAGTAATAATGCCCCATTCCTCCCTCCCCCTGTTCCTGGTAAGCAATAATCTACTTTCTGTGTCTATGAATTTGTTTATTCTAGGTACCTCATGTAAATGGAATCATACAATATTTGTCCACTTGTGTCTGGCTTATTTCACTTAGCATAATGTTTTCAAGGTTCACCCGTATTGAGGCATGTATCAGAACTTTGTTTTCATGGCTGAATAATACTCCATTGTGTGGATATACTACATTTTGTTTATTTGTTCATCTGTTGATGGGTACTTAGAAGTTATCTCCACATCTTAGCTCCTGTGAACAATGTAACTGTGAGCACTGGCACACGAGTGTGTGAATCCTCGCTGTCAGTTCCTTTGCATGAATACCCAGGAGTGGAATGGATGGGTCATATGGTAATAATGTGTTTAGCTTTTTGAGGAATAAGCATATGGATTTTTTTGCATTTAAATTGTTGTACATGGGAAGTGTAGATCTTTATTAATTAAAATTTATCTATTTTATCAAAGTTAACATGAAGAGTGATAAATATATGCAGTCAATTCATTCCTCACCTTGAGTTCTTAACAATTATCATTTATACAGCTCCTTTGACAGTTCATTATGGAAGGCTTTGTGACACCCATTATTCTCTTTAACTGATTATTTTCAAGCTTATACTGTTTAACTTGTCATGTTTTTATACAGTTCTCAGTGAAATTTTAATCTCCTCCAGGACAAAGAGATGTATTGTATTTCTTTGTACAGAAATTCCCTATAGCATAGCTTTCCAAGATACCTAACCCGATGAGTTTTCATTTCTTTCATATCAATCATCTGTTTTATCCATGGACTAGAAACTTTTCCAGCATGTCTGTCCCTTGATAGAATTCACTTTGCTTAGGTAGGGTTTTTTGCAAATCTGTTTGCACATGTTAAGTGAGGTAATACAACTAAAAATAGTAATAATAGCAGCTAACTTTTACAGAGTACTCACTGTATGTTCAAAGCGTTTTCCTGTGTTTTTTTCACTTAATTCTCAAAACAAGCCTGTGATATAGGTACTACTGTCATCCGCATTTTACTGATGAGGAGACTGAATTACTCAAAGGTTGAATAGCTGCTCAAGGCCACACCACCAGCAATGCTGGCAGCAGAGCCTACGTACTTAGCCACAGACACAGGGAGGAACCTTCTACTTGAGCCAGGAAAGACAGAATGTGCGACCACTAGAAGAATCATCCAACGAGATGTGCATGGTGGCACTCTTGGGGCAGCAGGGGGTCATACTTCCTGTGGGCCCCTCTCAGCCCCTCCAGCCTTTCGTAGGTCACCAGCCCTACTGTCCTTCCACCTCTCTGCTGCCTGTAGGGTGGCAGAGATCCATCTTGCAGGGTGTAGGCTGTGACTCGCTGTGTGACCTTGGGCAGACCGCCTCAAGGGGTGGTTGTGGCTCCAGTAAATGCCAGCATTCCATAAACACCACCTCCTTCTCATAGTGAATTAGTTGGAAATTGACCATCTTACTTAGGCAATCAATATTTCTTAAAAATAGATGATCAATGTACCAAAATAGATGAAAATCCATTTTTAAAACCTTGACAATAAGCAACAAATTCCATATCCATCCTCACCCCAGCCTGTCACTGAGCTTGGAGACAGACAGAATTGGCTCCTCAAGTAACCACACAAACATAAATATCTCAGAGAAAAACATGCTGGCCAAGAGGCATCCATAGCCAGTCCTCCCTATCAGCCTGTGAAGTTTCAGACACAGGATAAAGCAGATTCAGAGCAGCGCCCTCGTGGGCCTCCTGCCAGCGGGAGCCCCACTGACCTCACCTGGATGCAGTGCTGTCCCCTCCCTGATCCTTGGCCCGGCCAGTGAGGAAGCTGCAGGAGGCGGAGGGCCAGGCCTGCCCTAAGAATGGGACTCTTGGGTCCTGGGTGGCCTGCACCTCAAAGCCATACCTCGTAATAGCATCACAGCAGAGATGGCGAGGTGTTGAGTCAGATTCTGATTTCTGTTTCTCAGCACATCTGAACTGTGTTGGGTGAGATCTGCCTCCTCAGAACCTCCCTCTCCTCCCATCCCTGTGCCTGCATCCCGGTTCCTGCGGGATGCTGCAGTCCCTCCCACCACATTTGCTCCATCTCCCAGGGCCTTGGGTGGCCTAGGCCTTGCTGCCCCTTCTCTGCTTGCTCAGATGTCCCCTCCTGGTGGCTTAGGGCATTGCCACATGGCTCTGGGCTCCCGGTGCCTCCCTTGCAGTTCTGCTCAGCTCTGCTGCTTGGGAAGAGCCCAGGCCCACCCAGAAGCTTCTCACTGTTTCCAGAGCGCTTGTGGGCACAGTTCCAGCCCCTGTCTCAAATCGCCACCTGTCCCCTTGCTGCTAGACAGGTGATGCTGTGTGCCAGCCTCCGTACTGGGATGGTGGAGAGCAGAGATGACACTCCTGCCCTCTCCCCCGCTGCTTCCACACCTGACCATGAGCAGAGACGGGCTTTTCACAGAGCCGGGTTCTGAAGTTCTCGTTCAGTGTCTGACTTCACAGCCTTTTCACGGTTCTGATTTCTCTCTCTTTCAGCACTGTCTCCAAGCAGAGAAAAAACGTCATCAGCTGTGTCACGGTGCACGACTCTCCTTACTCTGACTCCTCCAGCAACACCAGCCCCTACTCCGTGCAGCACCGTGCTGGGCACAACACCAACACCTTTGACACCAAGGGGAGCCTAGAGACTCATTGCACAGGGAACCCACGAACTATCATCGTGCCACCCCTGAAAACCCAGGCCAGTGAAGTGTTGGTGGAATGTGACAGCCTAGTGCCAGGTAATTTGGGGCCAGGGCAGGCCAAGCACATCTCTCAGAGACTGGTTTTCTTGCTTCCTGCTACCAGCAATTTTGTTACGTGGGTGCTAATAAGCACTAGGTAGTATGGATCCTTACCCAGGGGCTTTGTTCCAGTAAGCGGTGTAGGATTCCACCTAATGTCACCTTTATAAGTAGTGTTTTCATTTTTAATTCTGTAATGAATGCCTTGCCGCCTTTACAACGGCTGCCCCTCTGAGTAGGGTGATAGGTATGAAATGAAAACCACCCATTTCCTTCTCCACTGCTCTGGAATGATACCTGGTTTGGGGGGGTTCCTGATCAGCTCCTGGCCTCCCTCCCATCCTTGGGAAGACCCTTCTCAAGTCCTGGTAGGTGAGGGTAAAATAGGCCCATCTCGGCATCTTCTTGGAACTCATTTTTGGGAGGAGAGACTCTAGGGAGTGTGTTTCTCTCCTTGTCCTGAAAACGGGGCCGTGGCATAAAGGCTGAGAATTTAACCTTCCAGCTAAGCTTTGTACTCACCCCAGATTCTGCAGCAATTCAGTGTCTCCCTTGCTCATGCTCCCTTGGGGAATAAACCAGAAGAAATCTGCACATTCTGCTTTTCTGCCACAAACCACCCCCAGGCCCCCACACCAAGCAGCACCATTTAGAAGGGAAGGGATACACACAGCCAAAAAGATCCTGTTTAGGTGCGAGGAGCTGCTCTACCTCAGGAAGGCCCCGCTGGCTGTGACCCCCGCTAGAGGAGGCCTTGGGCCCCCGTCAGGTGGTTGTCCCAGGTAAGGCCCACAGGCCATGGGCGATGGGGATGCCACCCCGAGAGCCCCCTGAGGTGAAGTCAGGATGGCGTCTTTAGGGACCTCCCCAGCCCCGTGCCATAGGCCAGCCTGCACAGTGTGGGAGGGACATAAGGACGTCTCATTCCCAAAACCCTCTTTCTCTACCCAGGCAAGTATTTTTGTGGAGGCCACAGAATTTTCAGCAGAAGCCACGCTCTGGGACCCAAGGAGCCTGTAGGCGCACAGAGTAGTTGACCCAGGAGAGTCCTCGGAGCAGGGACCTCATACTCTTCTGTTCGCATATCCCTTCAGTAATTGTCTAAAACTACATCCATCACACATTTTTAACTTTAAATGTTTGCAAAGGACATCACTTCTGTCACACGTACATTGTATCATTATTCAAGTACTTTAAATGTGTCTATCAAGACCTTGAAGCTGCAGATCCCGCTCGCTGAATGCTCGGACAGGCTGCCGCGTGCCTTCCTGAGCTGGCACTCCCTGTCACCAGCCCAGGCAGCCAAAGCTGACTTCACGTCTGTCAGAAAAGGTCTCCCCTGTGGCAGCCACCTCACTTCTAAATTTTATTTCATGAATGGATGGATAGCATAAGGAGTTTGCCAAGAGTCTGTAGCCTGAAGAAAATAAGACCGGGCAGCCTCGGGAGCCGCCCAGGCCTTCCACACCCGGAGGTGAAGGGCCTGGTGCCTCATTAACATTCCTGAGAGTGAGAGGGAAACCTTGCTTTTGTAAAATGCGAGAAGTGTGAAAGGGAAGGAAGGTGGGGGCTAAGGCGCTGGGTCCCGATGCTGGTAGATCAGCTCAGGAAAAGGTGCATTTGAAGGGTGAGAATCTGGGAATTAACCCCGTAAATCTTTACTTGCCCTGCACCCTCAAGTCCTCAGGTAACACCGCATGTACCCCAGTTCAGAGATCACAGCCTAAAATGCACACCGCTTGGTGTGAAGGGCTCTTTTGGTTAATTAACAGGTAAAGGCCTCAAGATATGTTGTCAAAATTTTTAAGACCGGCTCTTTTATTGAGCAGAAATAGAAGGAGATACTCTTTTCTCAGCGGCAATCCAAAATCCAGAAAGCTTTGAGGACCAAGCAGGTTCACAACCAACTCAGCTGGCGGTCAAGCCTGACCTGAGCTAGTAAGAGGCTATTCATAGTCCCTCTGCCATCTTCCTGCTTCGTTACAGTCGTGTTTGTGCTACTTGGTGAAATCTCCCTGTATTTTGTAGCAGGAATATTTATGTCTTTGATTATGGGGTAGCACCCAAGGCTCTGCTGGGTAACCTACCCTACTGAACGTGTACCATAGTACCCTTCTAAGATCTGAAATGCTGAATTTCAAAAATGTCGACACCGGAGATTTCAGGTCAGGGATGGTAAGACCTTCATAATGAGACAATGAGTTTTGCAAACCAAGGATGCCCATGTTCCAAGACATCTCAGGAAAACTCTCTAACAGTAACAATCCCTGTAAAATACAGGATAATAAGAACGGGCTAAAGTGACCATAGGCAAGTTATCTAGGAATTGGTAAAAAAAAAAAAAAAAGGTGGCTGATACGAAGTTTCTCCTGGCCCTTTAAAAGAAGGTGGAGGATGCACGAGACATTGACTAGATTTCCGCAAGTTAGAAATCGTCCACCTTGGAGTTTGGTCGGCTTTCGTGCTGGCACCACTCTGTGGAAGGTGACAGAACTGTGGCAAGAGTCACTGAGACTTTGAGACCACCTAGTCCGAGCCCTAGTTAAGACAGGTGAGGACACAGGCCAGTTTGCCCAGCATCACCCAGCAGTTTTCTGTCGTTGGAAGACACAAAGGTGAGCATTGAGAGGGGACAGCTCTGTGAAGCCCACGTTTTATGCCTTTCAGGTTACGTCAACCATTTCCATCCTCAGCCCACTGCACCTTGTGCAGTTAAGGGGCAGGTTTGAGTGCTGAGCCCACAGCCTTTCCACAAGGACTGTGTCATATCTGTAACATTAAGGAAAAATTACCTGAATGGCTGAGAATCTCTGAGGGATATTTCTGCCAAATAAAAAATTTTGGGTGGAGGAGAGATTCTTAGTCTCCTGGTGGTGCTAAAGCAAGAGCGCAGAAGCACTCCCCACGCACCCCGGGCGGACAGAGCTGTGCCTGGGACAGCAGATCTTCGGAGCAACTGGGCAGGGCTTGACCAGAGGGCTCTGGAATGTTCCTGCCAGCTCCATAGTGCACACCAGGAGCTTGACCTTCGGTACTTGCCTTCATTCCACTCCATTGTCACTTTCCTCATCTCCTTGGGAGGACATTATTGTTTTACTCCCTCAGTCCTCTTCAGGACCCCTCCCTTATTTTGGAGGTCCCTGCTCTGACCTGTAATGATAGTAGCAGGTAGCTGCCAGGCTCCATTACACGATTTCACTTAAAACTTCACTTGCAGATGCAAGCTATAGATACCTCTATCTCAGGGTTTCTCCCTCAAATATAATTACCCTAAAATGCCCAGGGCGTTGAAAGAGGAGCAGCGAGATGACATCACGGCTGGGGACCGGGCAGCGAGCACATGGATGGCCTGCTGCAAAGCAGGAAGGAGTTTGACTCCAACAGTCACACCGTGACTGAATGAAGGGGAGAAACCAAAGTTCTTCTGATAACCAACATTTGCAACTTCCCATCTTTTACCCTACAGTTTGCCCCCCAAGTCCCCTCCACCCCCAGATTTGAGAGAGCTTTTGCACATCTAACCAGATTCGGCTTGAGCACAAAGCAGGTCAGTTCCATACCAGGGCCTGACTGGCTCCTGCTCTCCTGGGAAGCTTGTTAAGAATACAGATTCCTGGGCACCCCCACTGGGTTCCGATTCAGTGGGTGGGATGGGAGGACCCCCAGGTGCCAATGCATAGTTAGGTCTGAGGGTTTCCACTAGGACCCACCACCACCACCTCCCCAGTGAGGCAGCTCTCCCTTTACTCAAGGGGCGCTCTTCCCTGGGGGGCACCGTGATCTCCCGTCCCCAGCTTTCTGGTTTCCCTACACTCTTCATGTTTCCCTCCATCAGCAATTAATCAGCATCATCTCTTGCTGGCCCCAGCCTTGGGCAGCTCCTCTTTGACTTTTATTTCTTATCACCCTCGGATTTGTAATAGATTGATGCAACCAGGTACATCAAGGACCTGCTCCTTATGATGTGTACCACATTAATACTTAGCAGCCTCTAGCCCCAGATCTGTTCATTTTACACTAGCAACCACGGGGTACATAACTGAGACCATGCCCAGCTTCTGTGTTTCCCAAAGATGCTCAGGCCCCAGTGAATCATCTGAATTCTTCCTGCTGAACAGCATGGGAAGTAGACTCACCTTGTGACATGTTGTGTACGTCCTTGCCAAGTCTCCCTTCATGTTAGATACCGTATGGTTCTTCTCTTGAACACCCCTGCTCCGGGCCCCACCCTCAAGTGTGGACAGTTTTTAGAGTCAAGGTGTCTACGCAGCAGTTTTGGCAAGTGACTGGATTCCCTGTGCCAAAGGCCTTTTTCACATTGGCCTCTTGATTTTCATCTGTGTTAGGCAAAGCTTCAGGAGAGAAATATTTGATGTCTGGAGAGACCCCGAGCGGCAGGCAAGCAGTAGCACTTGATTCTGCCCTGTCCCCTCCACCTGCGGCGCTCCTGTGGCTTTCCCCACACAGGCACAAGTCCCACTTTGTCAGGAGCTAGTATTCACAGATCACTCAGCACCAAAATTGACTAAAATGGCTTATTTAATATAAACTTCCCTACCCTATTCATTTGATCCTGGTTTTTCCCTCTAGGACATGTGTGGTCCTTTTTTTGAGGCTTGGTTATCTGTGTCCTGCTGTGTCTGTCCCTGTGTCTGCGCACCTCTGCGGCTAGTCCCTCCCGCAGCCCTGGGTGGGACGGGAGCAGCTGCAGAGACCTCCCCTGCTCTCCTGTTAGCCCCTCCCTCTGCTTTTCAGTGTCACCAGAAAGTGATTCTAAAGCCCGGCAAGGTTTGCTCCCAAGCAGTGGGACAAGCCAGGGCCCAGTGGCCAGTGTGGAGTCAGGGCAGGGTCGTAGCTGGGTCTGGGGAGGTGAGGCTCCTCTGTGATTGTCCAGTCTCAGGGAAGTGTTCCTTCCTGGAAGGCCACTGTTGGCCCCGCAAGGGGTCAAGTCTTCTGGACTCCTAAGGACCTGTGACTGACCTGTGACGTGTTCCCCCTCCCCTGTAGTCAATACCAGTCACCACTCGTCCTACAAGTCCAAGTCATCCAGCAATGTGACCTCCACCAGCGGTCACTCTTCAGGGAGCTCGGCTGGAGCCATCGCCTACCGACAGCAGCGGCCAGGACCCCCCTTCCAGCAGCAGCAGCCTCTCAATCTCAGCCAGGTGAGCCGCACACACGGCCATGCTGCCGGCCAGCCCCTCTCTGCTTCCCCTCCATCCTTGGGCTTCAGAGAGGGGCCCTGCGGGGGGCCCTCACCCACTTGCTCACAGAGCCTCAGCCCCTCCGGTGGAGGCAGAACGCGCCCTGTGGGACCTCAGGTGTTTCCTTTCTGCCATGGGTCACCCCTCAGAAAGTTAATATCACTGTTTGGTGAAAACTGGCCCAAAGTAAACTGACATGTCTGATGTTACAAGGCACTTGGTGACAGCATGACAGGGTGCCAGGGCTTAGAAGTCGGATGGCCCACCTCTTGCTATTGCAGCCCAGCAAAGGGTAGAACAGTGCGTCCTGGCCCAGTTAGGCCAGAACACCAGGGGCAGACCTACAATCTGACGAAGTGGGGCTCCCTGATGCACTGCAGTGAGGGAGGCCACATACTAGGAACCCCAAACCAAGGAAAAGAGTCAGAGGATTCGGGAAAGGTGGGTAGCGTTTAGGTGGAATGTAAATGAAGCAGTCTCCAGGGCAGAGCCGGCCTGTGTGTAAAGGGTCAATGTCACGTCCTAATGTCAAAGTTGACCCAGAGGCCTGTGTCCTGGGAAGCTGAGGAGGTAAGACAACGGGCGTCTGTTCCAAGAGCCCTCATCTGAACCAGCGCACCTGGGTCGTAAACAGAGCCCATGTCCCTGTGTCTCTGTGCTCTTCAGGTAAGGAAGGGCTGTTCCATTTGTATGAATGTAACTTCAAATGAGAGCCTATGATTTTAGAGAACAAGATTTCACAGTGAGACAGAAAGCAGCCCCACTCAGAACGACTCCTTTTGACACTTGACAGCTTCAGTGTGCCCGTGGGAGACGCGCTGTCTCCGTTAGTTTGGCAGTTGGCTTTGTGTGTCGTCCAGCCTGAGGAACGGCCGGGTGCAGGGTCCCTTCCCCAGCCCCAGAGAAGTGTTAGTTGCCCGGCAGACAAGGGAGGCATCCCCTGTCACTCCTGCAGCCTCTGGCCTCCCCCAGCCCCTCTCCTCCCCACCCCTCCTTGCCCCTCCTTCCTCCCCCAGGCCAGCCCCCAAAGCGCCCTCTCCTGGTGCTCCTCCTCTTGCAGGCTCAGCAGCACGTCCCCGCGGAGCGCGCCGGAGGCCACCGCAGGCAGCAGGCCTACGTCACGCCCACCGTGGCTCAGGCTCCGTACTCCTTCCCGCACAGCAGCCCGGGCCACGGCACTGTGCACCCCCACCTGGCTGCTGCCGCGGCGCACCTCCCCACCCAGCCCCACCTCTACACCTACACAGCACCCGCCGCCCTGGGCTCCACAGGCACCGTGGCCCACCTGGTGGCCTCCCAAGGCTCGGCACGTCACACCGTGCAGCACACTGCCTACCCGGCCAGCATCGTCCACCAGGTCCCCGTGAGCATGGGTCCCCGGGTCCTGCCCTCACCCACCATCCACCCGAGTCAGTACCCAGCCCAGTTTGCCCACCAGACCTACATCAGCGCCTCTCCAGCCTCCACCGTCTACACTGGATACCCACTGAGCCCTGCCAAGGTCAACCAGTACCCTTACATATAAACACTGGAGTGGGGAGGGGGGAGGGCCGGGGGGAAGAGGGGGCTGGGGGGAGAGGTGGGCACCGCGCTTTTTATACTGAAGATGCCGCACACAAACAATGCAAACAGGGTGGGGGGCAGGGGGCAGGGACGGACACAGGTGAAACTTGAACTAGGAGGTGGGAGGACTGAGAGCAGAGAAGAGAACATTTTTAAAAAGAAGGGATTAAGGAGGGGGAAATCTATGCTTTTTATTTTAAAAAAGAAAAAGAAAAAAAAACGTCAGTAACAAAAAACACAGCTCATGAACCCATTCTGCACCAAACTGGAAAGGAGAAGAGAGCAACGGAAAATTCCAGAAATGGGGAGGGCCCCAGCTTTTGAAGAACTTTATCTATGAACTTTTCAAAGATTATTTTCATATGACAGCAAGTGACATTGAAGAATTTGCTGTCAGAGACACCTGATATGGAAATCCAATAGATTTTTACTCATTGAACATAAGAATTAGGGATTTTTCCAGAACTCTAAAGGGTCAGTAGCCCCCTGGACAGGCAGGCCGTGGCCTGAGGAGGCTGGTTTTGGGATTGGTCTGGGGCTGTAAAGCGCAGTTCTGGCTCATTGGTCAGCACTGATGGGGGATGGCCCGGCTGAGGGAAGACTCCTGGGGTGAGGGTGCGTACTGGGGCTGTAAAGCGCAGTTCTGGCTCATTGGTCAGCACTGATGGGGGATGGCCCGGCTGAGGGAAGACTCCTGGGGTGAGGGTGCGTGTTCTCCTTCCGAGTCCTCTGGATAAATCCCTAAGCAATGTCAGTCCTCAGATGTCATTAATAATGTGTGTTGCGAACTTTAGGGTTTTTTCTGATGATTTATTTTCTCTTTGACTCAGTATCCCTAGACATGGAGCGTAGGGCTAGCGGGCATTGCTGACACCCTAGTAGAATGTAGCACTCAACACCCTTGTTTTCTACTTTGTGTTGACTCCAATGATACCAATAGACTATTCCTCAATGTAATTGCACAAAAAGAAGTGATATAACGTAGGCATGTAACCAATGTGGTGGTCCAGGTGTGTAAGCGTGAGTGAGCACGTGTGGGTGACGCGGGCCACCCCCTGTGTGTCGCTCGGCACCGCCTTCACAGCTCCCACGTCCCTGATTTTACACCATTCCCTCCTAGTGCCTTACCGACCGACAGACGCGGTGTGAGGGTTCACTTCCATGGTACTCCAAGAAGCTGACTGAGGCGAGTCAGATCATCTCAGCTCTTCTTTTGTGCTGTTGTAACATTTTACTCTGGTCTTTACCTCTTTTTTTTTTTAATTTAAATTTTATTTCGTTGTAATACCCGTGGTCTTTCTGGAGCTGTTGGCCAGCAGAGGCGTGGCAGGGAGGTGGCCGGGGCTGCGAGAACCCGCGATCTGGAGAGAGATGGGCAGACGGGGTGAATCTGATCACCGTGGTGGTTTTAGCCTTTCCCCTGCAGACAGAGAGCAAGAGAGCCTCCCCGCCCTGTTCCCCCGCCCCGCTCTTCCCCCAGCTTTCCGCCCTGGGGCCGGCTCCGCCACCTGTGTCACCCGAAGTCCCATCTCTGTGGGAGGAACCTCGGCCTTGCCGGCGGCTCCCTCCTTCTTGGTATGGAAGCGGCAAAGGAGAGAGGCCACCGCAGCCTCCTGCCCAGCACAGCCTTCCCGTGGCCGCCTGCTGGGCGAGAGGCGGCCTGGGGCCCAGCCTGTGCTCGGGCGCACCCCGCACTCACCCGCGCAGCGCAGCCCTCCCTCTGGTTCCATCCGCTGTGTTCTGCTCTCACAGTTTTGCCGGACCCTTCCCTCTGACAACCACCATCAACCTTCATTTGCTGCTGAATCTTTCCTCATATTACCCAGGCCTCCCAAGACATGACTTTGTTTCCTATTTTAGAGGGGTCTGGTGGGCAGAAGTTTGGAGGGACGTTTATGAGGGTCACCAGGGGGTCTCACACTGCACTTTGGAAAACATTCCCTCAGCCGTTAAGTTTCCACAGAAATTTGCCCTTTGGCCTTTTTGCACCTTTGAAACTCGTTGGAAGTTTCCTCCGGCTTTGATCACTGCTGGAGGCGGGGTGGGGGAAGGTCTCTTCATTCATAGCAAACTACTCTTAATATGCGAACATTGGGAGACTCTATCTGGTCATAGTCTGGGCTTTAAAGTGTGGTCCTAGTTGTTTTATTTTCAATGCTGAGTCCTTAACTGACCCCAAAGCCAAGTTTCTAAGGTGCAAAGAGGTTACTCCTAGTTTTGAGGGTCCATCCTCATCTCCGCACCCCTCCACCCCACTCTGCTGTCTCCCTTAACGATCTACTGTGAACAGTGTTTTTATGATTTCCAACTAGTTGAGTAACGAAGCCAAGCTCTATTACCTTAGCTCTTAGCTGTGAAATGTGAAGTAACTCTGGAAATATCCTCTCCCCAACCATAAATTCTACTTATCTTACAAAGAAGTAGGTCCCCAAACTGGAACCAGCTTAGGCCTCAGGCTGGAAGGACACCAGGACCCACTAGAGGTGGGTACCCTCAGGCAGCCTGTCAGGGGCCAGCCAGTGAGAGGGTCACAGCAGGGCCAGATGCCCCTCTTGTGATAAGTACATCTTTATCTGGAGGTGGGGAAGTGCCGTCATTCTGAGACTACAGGAAAATGGCCAGTCCAGGGAGGGTAGGGGGTAAAGCCTTTGGAGGACACGGGAGCCAGAGCCTTAGAGCCGCCAGCCTGGAAAATCCGTCTCTTCCAGATTTTTGGCAGCCAGATGGCAGCGATACCCCATCAGAGCTACTCACCCAGTCACAGAATTCTTGGCTGCAGATGAGCCTCCGTTTGCCTTACTGGATAGCAAGCATCCTGGATCCCTTTGCACAGCTCACTTCCAGCCCTTCCTAGAACTGATCTTTTATGGGAAATGACAACATAGCCTTCCATTCGAAATAAAATTGTAAGTTAGAAGTTTCTTACCCTTTTACCTGACATTTTCTTTCTTTTTCTTCCAGATCAGGAATAAAGTTCCATGCTGCTCATAAAGATAATATTATTGTACTAATTATTTTGGTTATTACCATTGTAATTATTATCATTATCATCATGTTGATATTTTTATTGGGGTTTTAAATGCACATTTATTCCAAGTATCTTTGTGTTTTCTCCTTAATATTTAAACTTATTATATCTGTGAGTGTATGAGTAGACAAGAAGGACATGTAGTTTTGTCAAGCCAAAAAAAAAAAAAAAAAAGGAAAAACCCAGGCATTAGGCCTTTTTTTCCTGTCATCTCTCTTCCATAAAGAACTATCTAGAAAGATCCACCATAGAACAAAAGTTTGAAGGAGAATCAGGCCTTTTTTCCCATACTAGCCAGATTGGGCTCTTGACAACATGGTCACCATCAATATTGTATTTTTCTGGATTCTCAGCAACCTGGGCAGAGATCTGAGGAGGCATCTCCTGGGCTGACCCCTGGGCTATGGTCCCTTCCGCATCCCCCAGCTCTCCTGTGCTTGTGAAGCCTGCTAACCAGGTTCTTGGCTTACCTCACATCTGATATTTACCTGTCCAGCAGAATAAAAGCCCTCTGCCCAGCTGACCAAACCACTTTCCTAACAGTCCTCCCTTTCGCTTCAGTGCCCCAGGAATGTGGCTTACGTCCTTCAGTGCAGGGATAATTGTCCCTCCTAGAAGCCAATGGAATCATGAGCTGATGTAAGTTTATTAGGCAAATGGCACCTTCCCCAGGGAGTTCCGGCCTCACTTTCCCTCCGTCTGCTCACTAACCACCATGCCCACTGCCTCCATCTCCCTCTCACCCCCGCAATGCATCTTCTCAGCATGCAATTCTAGGGACAAACTAGCAAGCCAAAAGAATGTGGAGGGATGGTAAGATGCCAGAGGAACACTGACAAGGTCCAGCAGCTGCTCAGACATTGCAGGCCACCCCCGCCCAAAATTGTTGGCCTGTGGAGGGGCACAGCAGAGCCTCACAGCCATCCTCCCAGGATCTGACTGTTCCCTCAGTGCACTGCGCTGTATGCGACAGGCTTTTCTAGTCAGCTTGAGGTGTCCACACACCGCCCTTCAAACCCAGAAACTGTGAGCCCTGGGTTAGAATGGCTGGTTTCGCTGAAGCTTACAAAGGGATATGTCAGGCAGTGTCCAGCCCTGCAGATGCTCAGCAGCCATTAGTGCATGCTCCCATAGACCCCACGTGCCTTCCTCTTCTCACAGAGCTGTGGGACTGGGAGCCCCAAGAAAAGACCTTACTGGGGGAGGCCAGGCTCCCTGTATACTCACCACTTGCCTGGATCTCCCAGCCAGTCCTCCAACTTTGAGTCACCCTGGCAAATAGGATGAACAATAGCCTGCCCGTCCCTGGGACCAAGCTCTCAAGTAGGTAGATGCCAACCTAGTCCTTAAACCGCAAATAACCTAGAGCGTCATCTGTTCTTCAACTGGCTCCATCCTTTACTAAAGAAACGTAGGTGAGACTAAGAGGGGAAGATTTAACAGGGCAGGTCAAGGAGAACCATGTAATGGGAGCCTTAGGAACCACAGGTCAATACGCTGTGCTTGGTGGGTTCTTGCTGACCTGTCTGGGTGTTTGACCCTTGTCTCTGCGCTAGTGCCTCATTCATGATGTTTGGCTGTTTCCAAGGGAAGGGGTGAGCAGGCTGATGGGTGGGAGAGTTTGAGGCTTGAAGCCAATTAATACTGTGAAGTGGAGCAGGTGGTTGATCGAATTCAGAGGGAAAGGAAGGGTTGTCTCCTGGACCAAATTTGCATTCTGGCCTTACTGGCGGTGAGTGGCTTGCAGGCTGTGGGAGCCAGCTGGCCTTGTCCTCTTCCCCCTGGAAGACTCAACCCGCCCAAACACCAGATTGTGGGACCTAAGGAGGGAAGGTGAGATTATCCCAGCTGCCAACAGGCCAATTTCCCTTGACCAGATCTTTGGAATTGCAAACACTCATTTTGAACAAGCTTGTGGTGGAGGATTTGGGGTGTGTGAGTGTGTGTGAGTGGAGCAGACGTTCTTGGAAACTGGAGGAAGGAGATGAGGAGGCTTGCGGAGCTGTTACTGATGGGCTGAGGTTGATGAAACGAGGGGCACTCGTTCGTGGGGCAAGGCGGCATGTGGGGCTCTGGCTGGCTCTTGTGGTTGCTGTTAGGGACAGAAAATGGAAAGAAGAAAATAACCAGGTGCCCTCAAGTAGCAGCGCATTCACCAGAGAGGGGAGGCTCCCTCCTACAGGCCTGGCCTGGGCCTCCGTGACACTAGCCGAGCCATTTCGCAGGAAGCATTGCAGCCCCTGGGACTTCGCAGACTTCTCTCCTTGCCTGTCTTTTCTTTCTGATGCATCTTATGGATTTCAGATGGGGAAGCCTCAAAACTGAGCAGGCCAGAGATGTCCTTACCAAACCAGAAAGGAGGCTGAAGCCGTTCCTTTCTTTAGCCAAAGAACCCTTCTGAAAGGCACCTCCAGATGTGTACTAATGGCATTCCTGTCTTCCCTTTCTGGGCAATAATGACATTGTTAGTGATGCAATTCCATTTGCCTTGCTCTTTCCTCTCTAGCCTGACTTTTTTTTTTTTTGCTTTTATTTCAAAACTGTACTCATCTTTTAAGAGGAGTGGGTATTTGTAAATGCTGCTGCTATTGGGAGACTGAGGCACTGCACGAACACTTGGGCTTAACTAACTCATGTTACCACGCACGGCAACCGGAGTAGCCCTTCTTCCTGGAAGCTCAGCTGCGTCAGGGGCTTAAAACCTGCTGGAACTGGGCTGGGGATGTCAGTACTTTTCCACTTTGATGCCTTAGGACTCTCCTTCTAACCTCCACAGACAAGAGAGTAAAATCTCAGTCGGGCTGCTAGAGAATTGAAGGTGGCAAAAGGACATTGAAATGCAATAGAAAACTTCCAAAGGCTTTTGGACCCATTGCTCACTACGGTGCCCCCACCCAGCAGAGGTTTCTCACATCTTTCTTGCAGTTGCCAGAAGTTTGAAAGAGCCACCAGATCCAAGCCAGTTCTTCACTTCAGACTCGCAGTTTACAGAGAAGTGGCTCTCCTGCAGGGCACCCTTCCCAGAACACCTGTACTGGAGGGGCTCTTCCTGATTCCCCAGCTCAAATCCCAGAGCCTCTGAGAGCCCCTGATCTCAGACCTCTGCATTTATATCATGCTGACCCTCTCTTATTTGTTAAAACTTGCACAGTACCCCAAGTAGGTAACAGCCAACATTCGGTGAATGTTTTCTGAATACCAGGCCCCAGGCCGTGCGCTGTCCGAGCCCTCTGAGCCGCCCCACTGACAACACCCCCGTTTACAGGTGAGGGGCGGCTGGTGCTCTCAGTAAGCAGCACGCATTAAAGGGAAGAAATACAATGGTGTTTTGAAATCTGCAAGTTCCTAATGAAATTTTTGTCCATCAGGCCTTTACTGAGATTTGATTTTGTTTTGCTTTTTTAATTAACAGCAGCAATGAATGGCCTCATATTTCTGATGAAACATTTAATGACATTCCCATTTAGTCTGTGCCAAACACAGTCCTAAAAGTCATTCATTGATTATCTAGTTTGATTCAGTCCTCATAACAACCCTGTGAAATTGGCAATAGCAGTCCCTTTACAGATGAGGCAGCTGGCTTGGAGCACTGGTAACCTGCCCAGGGTCACGCGGCTGGTGGGGAAGTTGGGCCTTGAACCTGGGCCTACCCAGCTCCAGAATGGAGCTCACAGCCACTAGTCTCAGCTTTCTCCTATGAGTACGTGCAAAGGCCCAGTGTCCCCTGCATCCCTGCCACGAGCGTGGAATTCAGCTGAAGGTCTGTGAGAAGAGGGAACCCTGAAATGGATACAAACAGAAGGGGCAGAATTAGTTTGACCTTTAGGGAAACTGTAAGGGGAGTTTCTGTTGAGTCACAGTAGAATTGATTTTTTATTTCTTTCCGGTGTCCCAACTAGCTTTAGCAGCGCTATTCCAGCAAACTCGAAGAGTGAAGAAAAAAAGTCTTCTTTTCTTTTAAAAAAATAATTTTCTCTTGCTTATGGTTAATTCTAGAAAGGCAATATTAAAGGTATATATTTTTTTCAAAATGCTGTTTTTTACTGCACTGATAAATATCATGACAACTCTGGTCTCTGTCATAAATCCACTCTTCAGCTCTGGGTCGAGCCAGATGCAGGATTCACACCAAATGTGTAAATACCATGTGTGGGTCTGGTGTCCAGAAACTTTTTTCTTTGTGTTTAAAAAAAAAAAGGAAGACAAGATGACTCTTAAAAAGAGGAACAAAATTAGGTTTTCCTTTAGATAACCTTCTCAAAGAAATGGAAAGCAATAGTTGTATAAACTGAGAAAAACCACCCAACTTTTAGGACCTGAGGAAAGAGAGCCTCTTGCCAAGGTATGAGATTAATAGGGATACAGAAGCATTTTAATTTTGGTTGAAAGGTGACAAGAATTTAGAAATACATTAGAAGTCGATTTTTAACTTTTTAGAAAACGACTATAATTTGGTAAACATCTCAGTTGTTTTGGGTGGGATTTTTGTTTCTTTTTTAATTTTAAAAACTTTATCAACTGACTCCAGGCTTGTTTGCCTAAATTCTTAGGTAGTTTATACAAGTTCTAGAATCCCCTAGAACTTTAACTCCATTGGAAGCAAACCCAACTAATCAGAACTTGAGATCCTTGTTGGTTTCCATAGGTATTCTGGAATTCTGACAGAACACCTCAAGATTTTTTAGAGAAGGTTTTAGATACATTATCTTACACAAACTGTGACCTAATGGCAATAATTACCTCAAATGTGGGCATTCATCCTGGTTTTAGCCTTTTTTGAAATCATGTAGCCAGCTTGATCCTGGGATTTAAAAGACTATGAACTCTGTGTGGGCTGAAAATAATGATTACTGCACACCTTGGACATTGTTGCTTAAGTGAATTCTGAAAATTTCTCATCTTTACAACAAAAACTAAGTCAAGGAAGTGATTATTCTATAGTGTTTTAATCAAATGTGATAGTCAAATGCACATGTTAAATATATATGTTTTAGCTACTGTAAAATGCTGTTAGTCTTTGGAGCTATCGAGGGAGTCACATTTTAAATGCATAAACTAAATAATTGATTGTGGATACTAAAGCATATTTCTGGCTACATTTTATAGTTAAAGTGTTTTATAATTTACATTTAAACTGGTACTTTTTAAAGGAAATTTCTGTTTATAACTGACATCTTCAAACCCCAGCAATGGCCTCTTTGGTGGGAGGCCGTGTCCCCCAGGGCAGCTGTGTTCTCCCCGTGTTGCTGTCTGGCCTAACTTGGCATTTCCCCCGGTTAACTAGTTTCCATGTTAACTCGAGAGAATGTGGAAGGATTTCCAGGATGAGTGTGAAAGGCTTCCACAGCCTGGGCCAGATGCAAAGATCTCATGCTATGTTGTATAAACACTGTCTTCAAGGTCTCCTCGTTCACATCTTGGAAGGGGCAGAGAGAACAGACACCTGGTTCGTTGATTTTGTCTTGATTTGAATGTTTAACTGGTATCAGTCCGCTGGGTTCAGTCACCAGGCAGTAGAAGACTCTGGGATTCAGGTGGCCCCATAGGCACAGCTGCTGTTTCTGGGCCCCCAGCAATATTCTGGTTGGTGTTTTGCAAGAGAGAGTCATATACCCCTTCACCTTAATTCATTGACTGAGTTTTCCATATATCTACTGTCATTTATTCCTTTCCTCCTTTAAAACAAAATAAATGCAAAAGGATGTCTGTACTTTTTACTCTGTCAAACTTCAATTTGAAGCCTAGGTCAGTGGGAGCAGGACCCTGGACTCCTTCCTGGAGACTGTGCATGCCACAGAGCAGGGGGCACCGAAGGGCAGCGGGGGTGGGGCCTGGCTCCCATCACAGGGGACATCCTACGTGTAAAGGCAAGAGAGCTACTGCAGAGCGGGGGCCCCCTGGTCCTGCAGGAGCAGACTGGGAAATGCTGGCTCCCCAGTACTGGTTTGTGTTTTGTGTTCTCTTGTGCCACCACCAAAGTGCGATGACCTGCAGTGATCCAAAGGGCATTCCTTTAGCAGATAAGACCTTGAAAACTGCAAAACACCCAGGACCAGGGAACTGTGTGTGTGTGGTGTGTGTGTGTGGTGTGTGTGTGTTTAATGCATTTGCCTTTTCCCTGTGAACTCTATTGATAGTATGTTCTTACTAGTTTTTTGTGAGAAATGTTACTGTAGAACATTTTCCATCTTGCTCCCCTAATTATACTCCCACTTACCTCTGGTTGGTTTTTTCCTTTGCTTTAATTAACCAAATGAATTTCATGTCATTGTCTTTTCATTGTCTTTGGGGCTTAACCATATTTTTTTAAACTAGAGGTATAGAAATTGGCTTAAAAAAAAAAAGTAAATACATTGTATCAGAAAAGGGCTCTGCCATCTCCCCTCTCTAGTTCCCTTCCAACCCGTCTCCACGCAAATGAGTCTCTCCTGGCACTGCCTCCCCACTGAGCCGGGTCACTGTCCCTGGGGCCACCCCGGCCTCCACCCTGCTGTCGCCAGAGCCCCACAGGCACCAAGGACTCCCAAGAAGCCCTCAAGAGCCAGGAAGAAGGACCCACTCGGCCTTGTGAGTGGTGTGGTCTTGCCTCCCTGTTAGATACTTGCCCACTTGGTTGAAGGGGCAATGGATTTATTATTATTATTATTATTATTGTTATTATTATTATTATTATTATTATTTTAATAGTTTGGCTCAGGTTATAAGGAAGAACTTGGGAAGTGGTAAGTGACTTGACCGGGCCCATCCTCTGTGGCTTTCCGTGGCCTCTGAAGGGAACCTGAAGCGCCCCCGCCCCCTCCCCACCTCCTTCCAGGCAGAATCCCCCGGCGCTGCCTCGGCTGCTCCCCATCCATGCACTTTCCACCCTTCCACTTCTGTGTTCCTGCCCATTCAGCGCTTTCTTCCATGGCTTTTCCAAGGCACAATCACTTCTGGCCCCCAAAGCATCTCCTCATCCTCTATGCGTGCATTTTTTAACCAAATGAAGTAGACCAGGAAGTCATACTTTGGGGCAGCAGAACTTCTAGTTTAGTAGAATCACTGTATAGGTATAGATGTTGATATATATGTTTGTGTATATATATATCAAACCAAATGTCTGATAGGAAAAGTATAGCTTTACAGATGAGGAGGAAGAGGAGCTTTTAGAAGTCAGAGTCAGTGCTGGCGGATTAGGCGAGCCCGGGATGTCCCCAGGCTGCACCTTCCAGACAAGGGCCTGAGGCGTGGCCCCGGGCTCTGGCCGCCCACCTCACCACAGGGGAGGCGGGGCGCCCGCAGGTGCCGCTGTTCTCTCTGGGTCCCCAGCATCAAAGGCACCGATGAGTGAGGTGGGGGACAACAAATCAGAATGACTGGAATTTTCCATCCCGTTTTGCTTTGACCGCATGTATTGAGCTGCAGCCTCTGATAATTATATCACGTTTCCAAAAGTGGTATCCATTAGGATGGAAAGAGAACAGATCTGTAGAAATGTTTACCTTTCAACTGCCCATGAATTCAGGACACTCTGGATAGGAAGACTCACTCCCCAGCATGAGGACAGGGAGGGGGAGGCCTGGTGATGCTCTGTCACCGGTCCCAGGAGCAAGGCTCCCTCCCAAGGTCATCTCACCTAGATCTTTCTCCCCCTGGTCATCTCAGCTCAATAACCCTACGAAAGCCCTGGTCTGTCGTGTTCCTTCACTGTATGGTTTCTGTAATAAAAAGTGTTAATCCATGTTAATCTTTGTGAAAATTATTGCGTGCAACAGTATTTTCTCGTGTACCTCTTTTTTCCGATGTGAATTGTCCCTCTTTTCTTTCTTATTTATAAATGTCTACTTTTTTTAAAGACAAACCAATGTGTTGTAGACCTATATGTAACCTATCCCTTAGTCTCATATTATAGGTATGTTATAAGAATGGATATTTTACTTGGCTTTAGAATGTTTTACAAGAAAAATAATTCTTAACTGGTCAAGTCCTTGCTACTAAAATGCTTGTGTTTTTCATCATGATGTCGTGTGCTTCTAAATTAATCATTTTCGTTGTAGAAAAATGGAGTGAATTTATATTAGTCTTGGAAACTAATAATAGCATTGTAAATTTATGAGATGATTTTAACAGAAAAAATTATAGAAGAATATAGTTATTTTAATTGTAATATTACTAACTGTAGGGTGAGAAAGGGGGGTCCCATTGTGGTGAACTATGTTATAGCTTGTTACTCACAGTTTCTTTTTGATCATTTTTTCGGTCTCTGAGGTGAAACGAGTTATTAATTAAAATTTGTAAACTCACATATGCATATTGTATATGTGTAGAAATGTAATCACACTTTGTCTTGGAATTACATTAAACTGTTTGGAATCACTGTACACTCAGCCTGGCATGCTTATTTATTCTAGAAACAGACTAGTTATACAACTAAAGTGGTTATTATATGGAGTGACTTCTTTAAGAAGCTGTTTATCTCTTTGGAAATTACTAATACCTCTGAACATTTTTGTAAGCCATCACTGCATTTACCGTTTGCCAAGATGACTGTGTGTGGCTGCAGAGGGGGGGCCAAGAGACCAGTTCACGTGCGGCACTGGGTGGGGGGAGTCCTCTACCTCGCATTGCCTCTCCAGAGCCGTTTCAGCCCTCCTGCTCCCAAACTCCATCTCTGAGGCCTAGTCCTTGCTGTCATCTGCTATCCTGAGTACTTGCCCATGTTCATCCCGGAGGTTCACCCGAGCCCTGTCCACTCACCAGGGCCTCCCCGAGACTCCCCACTTGAGCCATGAGCACCACAGCCCCACCCTGGCCCTCACACCATAGCTGAGTCACCTCAGGAAGCCTGTGAAACTCCACACCCTGCCCTTGACTGTGGCTTCCTATTCTTTCAGCACTCTTTTATTAATTATTATTATTATTAGGGTGAAATACACATGACATAAAATTTGTCATTTTAAAGTTTACAGATAGTAGTACATTTGATTGATTACATCTATAAGTGTGCAAGCATCACCACTAGCTATTTCTAGAACTTTCGTCATCCCAAGGAGAAGTTCTGTACCTATTAAACACTAACTCATCATTTCCTCCCCAAGCCCTTGGTAACCACTCTTCTACTTTCTGTCTCCAAATTTGCCTATTGTAGGGATCTCATGTGAGTGGTATCATACAATATTTGCCCTTTTATGATTGGCTTAGTTGAGGTTCATCTAAGTTATATATAGCACATATCAGAATTTCCATCTTTTTTAAGACCAACATTCCACTGTATGTATACACCACATTTTGTTTATCCATTCATCTGTTGATAGATGTGAGTTGTTCTACCCTTTGGCTTTTGTGAATAATGCTGCGAACACCAGCATGCAAGTGTCTGAGTCCCTGCTTCCAGCTCTTTGGGAGATTCACCCAGGAGAGGAATGGCTGGGTTATATGGTAGTTCTAACTTTCTGAGGAACCGCCAAACTTTTCCATAGTGGCCGCACCATTTTACATTGCCACCAGCAAGGCACAAGGGTTCCCATCTCACCCAGCACTCTCACCCTGCCTTCCACTGCCAGTGGTCTCGGGCCTCAGGCCCACCAGGCTCCTGGCCCTCCATTTTCTGTGCCTCCTGGTTTCCCAGACTCCCCAGCTAGCCTACAGTCCACTCACCTTGACCTGAACCTTCAGTTCCCACACCCACTTGCTGTAGACGATGCAAGGTCTGCCATGTCCGCTCCTGCACCCAAGCTCCCGAGAGCAGCCCAGACCACCCAAGCCTGTGGACATCGCCAGCTCTCTGTGCTCATCGGCAGCCTCTCTAGCTAGTCGGAAACCTTGCTGCGCTACCTCCTCACTCCATCAGACCCGCTGCCCCCAGGGTAACCCAGAGAAACCGCCCCCCTTCCCCAAACCTGCCCGCCTCACGTCTCTCCCTTCGGCCTCCATCTCCTTCCTCACCTCCAGAGCAGCTCCTGGCCAAGCAGCACGCCCCACCTGGGACCTCTGTGCTTTTCTCACGCCTCTGCCCTCAAGGACCAGCCTGAGTCATCTCTCCAGAAGCCTGCCCCAGTGACCCTGATAGGGAGGTGTCCCATCCAGCCCCTCGTGCGTAGTCCTTGTTAACCTATACCATCAACACTTCTTTCTGGGTTTTCCTTCCCCATAAAACCACAAAATCCTTGCAGGTAAGGATTTCTCTTCAATCTCTGGTTCTAGAGCATCTATTACAACACTTGGCACAGAGTCAGGGTTGGGGGGAGTCAATAAATATGTGGATAAATGAACAAACTCTTCAGCCCATTTTCATTGCCCAATCAGCCTACCTTTCCTTTGGATTCTCTGTCTCCCGGAATTCACGTAATACCAACAAAATCCTAAATGCAGCCAGTACTAGAACTTGGCTAAACTCCACTCAGCCAAAATTCAGAGTACATAGAAAGCCACACAAAATATTTTGACAGAACTTCAGAACTTTTCCATCATGCTTTTTTTTTTTCTTTTTTATTAGAAATGCACCGCCAGGTGTCACAGCCCATGGAAATGGAGAGAGAAGCAGACCCTATTTACCAGGGGAATGCAGTGCTGCTGTGTGTAAGGATCCCACCACCAGTATCACTGGAAAGTTATTTAAACCTGACGGAAAAGACAAACTTACTGCTGTCAATATGTTCCCTCATATGTATTGAACAGTGGGGTAATAAAAGTTAAAGTTGTCTTAAGTTGCTCACTTGCATCAACGATGAACAGCAAGTGGAATTTTCCCCACTGAGCCGAGGAACCCTGAGAAGAGGGCCACACCAGCAGGTCCACGGCGCTCTCACCCAGCCCACCAGCCTGGGACTCTGCTTCCCAGGGAGCTGGTCCCACACCAACAAGCTCCCCTGACTTTGGGGGTGAGTCCCTGGGGAGTGGAGGTCATGCCCAGGAGCCTGCTTGCAACAGCCATGTGTACATCTTTTGTGAGAGCCTGACTTACGTGTTTTCTAATTCTCCCTTATGGTAGTGAAGCTTAAGCAAATGTTAGTAACTATAAAAGCACAAAGTATATTAAATGCATAGTATGTAACACAGTATGGGGTGGGCATTCATGTGACCCGTCAGTCCACACATTTAGTTCTCTCCTTACTGCTGGGACTCGGCTATAAAGAAGGCACCTTGGACCCTCCCTTCCACACCTCCCACACTTTATGTCCCACTTGGACCATGCGAACTTCTGCTTAGCAGACCTATTTCCTCCTTAGAAGATCTGTTTCCCTTATGTTGTCTGGCACTGCTTGACGACGGAAAAACCCACTATCCAGCCAATAACCCTAAACTTCACGCCTAGGGAAGAAACGGAGCTAGGAGCTAGATAACCCTTTATACTGTGAGACCACCTAATTCCAGTTTTTAAGTGTTTTACACACACTGATCTATAGGAGGCATATAGTCCCTCCTACTGAGACGCTATGCTTTTGACAGAACTTCTAAATGCTGGAATATAGGTCCCCTTGTAAAGAAACCCCTTGACATCTACTTTTTTGTTGGTGGGGAGGGTAAACCAAGTCAATATTTATCACAGGTAACAAAAGTAATAATGTTGTGTGTGGTTAAAAACAGAGAAAATTAAAATACATGACAACAATAGTAAATAAGTGGGAAGGGTGATAAATGATATTCAAGTATTCTAAAATCTTTGAATTGTCCAAGAAGAGATAAAAGTACTAATTTTTTAAGAATACAAGTTATAAGGATAACAAGTCCTAGGATAATAAGAAAATAAAAAACCATATAACGAATAAGTGAATAGAAAACACGAGGAATTAAAATTTTTTCTTAATATTATATAAAGTACATCATGCTGTATACTGAGATTTACTTTTCCACTTATGATAAATTCTTACAACACAGATTCAGCCATGCATTTATTTGTTTTGACTGCTGTAAGTTATCAGTTGATTCATCCATTCTTCCATTGACGGGCAGCTTTTGGACTGTTTCTAGGTTTTTGCTGAACAGTGCTGTGATGGACCTTCTCATGCATTCCTCTTTTATATATAATTTTTTTCTGTTTCCCCCTAAAATAATCATTTCTGGGTCATAGAATAAGTTTTTCTTTACCTTTGGAAGGTAAAATTAAAAACATTTTAATTTTTTAAACCTCACCAGCAACGCTTAAAAGAGTTTGTGAATCCACACTCTAACCAAAATTTGGTATTATGAGTCTTAAATTTTTGCCAGTGATATGCCTACATCATTGTGGTCTTGATTTGCCTTTTCCTGATCACCAATAATGTCAAACATCTCTTTGTATTTATTGGCCATATGTAATTTCCTCTTCTGTGAAATACTTCATATCTTCTGCTTAATTTTCATTGAGTTGTTTGTGGTTTTCTTACTGAGTTTTAGAGTTCACTATATATTCTTAATAATATTTGTCATTTATGTTTGGCGTGAAATTGAGATATCATAAATATCTCCTCAAAATTCTAATCAACCTTTTCACTTGTTTTTGATTAGTACAAGTTCTTAATCTTAATAAGCTCTGAATATTTTAGTTTTCTCTGAAGTTAACAATGGTCTTTTTGTACATCTGCTTACTTCTTTATGTACTTGTTGCTAATATAATCTAAATCCTTCCTAAAGTGTACAAATTTCCTCAAGATATTCAAATTAGGTATTCTGTCAATTTCACCTTCCTGAAGAAATCCTTCCTGGAACTTTGTGACCTCTTCTATCCTGGACACATTGCCTTTTAGGCACTGTGGTCACCGTCAGATCTCCCATAAACCCATTCCTGGAGACTCTCCATCTCTCTGTTTCCTGAATTCTAGGGCTTTCTCTTTCTTATTTCACTTTGTTGTTTTGTGGGAACACTCCTGTACCTTCCTGAGAAAGAGTGTAAGAGAGATTTTAGAGGTCTGCATTCTGCTCTCATACTTGCCGATGTGAGTGGAATTGCAGTTGGACATGATTTCCTTTCAGAAGTTTGACGACATTATTTCATTGTCTTATAGCTTCAACTGTTACATTTTGACAAGTTTGGTGTTATTCTGATTCTTGGTTCTGGTATGAAACCCCTTTTCCCCATCCCTCTGGAGATTGTAGAACCTTCTTTTTCCCTAGCACTTTGAAGTGCCATGATAGGATATGATGTAGGTCTATTTTGGACCACTGTACCAGGCAAGCATGCTTTCAGTTCTGTTTTCTCTTTCTGGAATCCCTATTATTTAGGTATTGAATCTTCTGGATTGATCTTCTAGTTTTCTTGTCTTTTCTCTCCTACTTTCTTTATCTTTGTATTTTAATTTTACTTTCTGGGCTATTTCCCAAATTCTACATTCTGTATTGATCCTCTACTTTATCTAAACCTTCTTCATATCTGCTATCATAATTTGAATTTCCAGAAGCTTGC